ATCTGAGTGAAACATAATCTAACTATTGATTGCACGCTTCTGGATATCACTCGATCAACGCACCATTATTATTATTCTCAGTTAGTGAAATCGAACAAGCAAATCTTCTGAAGGAAACATAACGCAATTTTTGGTGTTGTTGTTGCTTTCGAACACTATCCGTAAAACTGAATTGACCCTCTGCGCTGTCGCTACAAGAAGAATCCAAACCAAAAAGGATTTGCGTTCAATCTAAAGTTCTTCATAAACGATTGAAAATCGTCAGTCTTATAATCATGCCCGCGTTCCACTCAATTTTTCCCCAAAACTGCATTTGCATTGAAGGTGACCCCTCGCGGTAGCTGAGCGCTGCCTCGATCGACACTCAACAGTAAAGGTAATCAATCATGCACCTATAAATCCTCGTACCACTCCTCCTCGTCAACTCCCTGCATTCTGTCCTGTTCCAACGTCAGATCAACACCAATTCTATTCGACCAACTCATTTCCACTATCTTGCGCTCATTTGGGTCCACTGCACCTCTCAAAGCTTCCGCTCGACATTCACCAATATCTGAAGGCGTCTGAGGAACTGTTGATGCAAAGCCATTTGGTGCTGTTGGTGATTTAGCATTGCCATCGCTTATTAACTGTTGCTGCGGATGCGTATGCGACTGAGACCGAGGTTGAGGTTGTAATATACTGCGTCTTACTGCAGGTTGAGGTGAGGCAATATCTGAATTAACATTATTCTTCAATCTTTAACTGACTAACAACGCATTCAGTTGTTTGTACGGCAAAATTCCTTAGAGATCAGTTTTTATTTCTCGTAAATGACACTTAGAACAACTGACATACGATAAAATAACACTGACGCACGCAGTATACATTTCCGATCATTAGAAATTAAATGGATGCTGCATCATAAATTTCTGGTGATATGCAATCGGATATTTTCAATTCCTCATAACTGCTTCAGTTATATCCAAAACGATTGTAGTTCTGAACTAAGCAATATTTTGAAGTTAAATGAAGCTAAAAACAATAACAGATAATAATCATAAATATTTATAAATAGTAATAACAGTAGTAAATTACATGGCTGCATGTCTTCTGGACACAGATCAACGAACAGGCGAGGTTGGTAATTCCCATCGAACCAATTCGACGCAGACATTACGGGTATCCAGGTTGCTAACGCCCTCGGGAATATGTCGCTTTGGAAGAGATCTTTCTGAACATTTTGAATATTTATCAATTTTATTGCGGCATCTCTCAATAACGATGAAAAACAATCATAACAGATAAAGGCAAAAATAATAAATACCTTAACACGTGGAACTCGAAATGAAATTCTTTCCATTGATTTTTCAGTTAAGCGCCAACCACGTTGAAATTCAACAGCTTTAACATCACAAACAATTTTAGGATGCAACGATATCGCTTGATGACCGTTCGGGAAAGATGCTGATGCCATGGGCAGCAAATAAGGATCCGTCGGTATTACCTATCATTCACAACAATTACAGCCACATTTACCATTACAACAATAATGAACAAGATAACAACAATAATAATAATAATACCTCGAACATGTTGATAAATCGATCTCCCTTACTCGTCAGGAACAACACCGACGAATCGAAGTCGTAATGTGGTATGAGTGGCTGTGGTGAAGTGTCGAACTGATGTGTATGCTTCACTTCTAATGTTGAACTGTCCACAAGAGTTATCACACGATTCGAACTCCTTTAAACCATCATTCACTTTATTTGCTATTATTTGTACTCATTTTATGCCATCTTCATTATGATTACCTATTATAACTACCTATTACTCGTATAGTATTATTACTGCCATTATTAGCTGTTAGTTAGACTACCTGATGACTCAGACTTTTGTTATATGTACATTCGTGTCATTTGAATACAATAAAATCAGCAATCAGCGAATTTTGATTACAATTTCAAAATTGTTATTTATATTACTGTTATAGTCATCATTATTTAAGGATCGTCAATAGAACGTTCGATCGAATTAAAGTAGAAGTAAGACGATTGAATGCGAAATGAGATCTTCATGACATTAAAAACAGTCAAAACCGAACCTCGCAAAGTGAACGATCACTATCATCGCATCGTTACATACAAACAGAATACGTGCTGCGCGTGGTGATTCGAGTAATTTTTTCCGCTAAAAAAGTAGATTTTTATGACGACATGAAAAATTTTAAAATTCTGGTAATAGAAATTACCGAATACTGTGGCATTCCCAAGAATTCTATGCTTAAATGCCTGAGAATAGAAAGTTTCAAATTATAATTCTCAATTTTCTCGTCACAGCAACACTGCCCATTCGCCAATGCGATGTTTTCATTTAGATACGCTTTCTTCATCAAACGATGTAAAATAAAAATAATCCGTGAAAACTGAGTAAATTGACA